ATTTTGGTGTGATATAAAGCTGTTATTGACTCATTTTTTAAGTAAAAAAAGTGGACACGTGCCCTAAATAAGCTTTATATATATATATATATATATATGAGGCCCAAATGTAATGAAACTTTGTTAGGAACTTTCTTGAGCTTATGATGTTGAAAAATCGTGCGAAGTTTCATCCAAATCGAACTTAAACTGTGGGAGGAGTATTGTGGACAGACAGACATTAGCCTCCTAAATGTATAGATAAATTTAAATAATTCTTGGGAAAATATGTAGATTCCGTATTCCAGACACACGTAAGAAATAAAACTAAATAAAACATATGAAGGTAACGAATTATGACATACGAAACCATGTCACACATTTCATTTCAGCCTTAGAAATGGATGTTTTACTGTATTTTGTTCCATTTTCATCAAGACAGTTTCAAGCACGTCGGATAAAAAATGTTCAACACCAACAATACAATTGGCTATTTGTTGTTAACAGCAAGTCTAAACAAAATGCTGTTTTTGCTCTGCTCAACGCGGGTATCGAAACCTAAATCGTTATAAACCCTCAGACTTATCTCTGAGGCACCAGAAGGACAACAACAATAGAAATATTGTCCAGCACACACACACACACACACATATATATATATATATATACTTCATTATAAGTCATGTTAAAAAATATTAAGCCTAGTGTAGATTTGGTAATTCAGAAGGCTAAATTTATTCCAACTGTAAAAAAAATTAAAAATTTAAAGTATTATGGGCGCTGTTTTTTAGTGAAGAATAGTACTGTAGAGGAATAAATAAAATAAAATAAATATATCACAAACTGACTAAAACGCACAACATACTGGTCCTCACTGATTCAGGTTATGATTTATATAATTTATATCATAAACTGTACACTATTTTCCTATGTTTTACTTCAGTTTCGATGAAATAAGGGCTAGCGGATATGAAGCAATGGTCAGGTTTAACCCTAGACTTACAGGTGGCGTTTTTGAAACATTTTATCTAAACTATTTGTGCCCCTTAACTATTTTACATGAAAAAACAGTGAATTCACTCTTTTTATCTATCTATCATTTCTTCACCCTCAGTGTTGTAACAGACAAAACCAAAAATATTCAATATGACGCAATATGTGGGCCTCACCAGCAATGAATGATATACAAAGATGTTTGTGGCTTAGGGGTTAAACGAGTTTCTGGATTCTTTGAAAATACAACATGTTGCAAAACAGGTCCTAGAGTGAGGAGAAGCATTACGACAGACTACATGTATGTTTGAGGATATTATTTTTAACAGGCCCATTATAGGACTACGTACGTACAAACGACTTTTTTTTTTCTTTTGCATATTTGACATCTATTAACCACTAATGATAAGGCCTCTTCATAACACAGGAAAGACAAGTTCAACATGGTAGTTACGAGGGAAGACAAATTGAATACATTAGCTAGGTAAGTGCGGAGACGTGAAATGATTTCCTCAACTATCATTCGTCAAATCCTGATTACAATTCAGTAAACCTTTTAACTACATTCCCTAGGCATATAGAGGCATTCGCTTATTGTTTGCTGAAACGGATAAAATAAAAAGTCAACAACATGTGACATTCGGTTATTCTTGGTTAACCAACAACATCAACATATAATGCACTGTTACACTTGGTTAACAATCAATCACACACAGAAATATTCATTAACAGTCGACACCTTGTACGTGGTTATTCTTGGTTAACAGTAACATCTGGTACGTTGTTATTCTTGGTTAACAATAACACCTTGTACGTAGTTATTCTTGGTTAACAATAACATCTGGTACGTAGTTATTCTCGGTTAACAATAACATCTGGTACGTAGTTATTCTCGGTTAACAATAACATCTGGTACATTCTTACTATATGCGGTAAATGGTTATTCTTGATGACATTGTTCATTACGAGCCAATAAAATCTGATGCCTGGTTATTCCTAGTCAACAATGGCATATGGCTACTTTTGGTTAAATGACAATAACAGCACATGATCCTGGTTAATGCTTAACGACATCTGATGCATGGTTAGTTTTGGTTGGGGTTTTTTTCAGTAGTGTTTGTTTTGCTTGAACATCATTTAGAAAACTAAATAAATCCAGTAACTTAACATAGATCATACACCAGATCTGACGGTCAGAGTTCAAGGAGGAGTAAGTAAAACTAATATATAATAAAAACGTCGAACATTCTAGAAAAACATTTTTTTTAAAAGTAGACGCAACGAATTGTACTAACTACCGAACATGTTATTGATAAACTACAAACTTTATTGTGCTCTCTTGTAACTCTATTCAATATTGAAATATGTGGCGCCAATAACATTCCTCGTCATTAAATTCCCCATTCTTTAACTTGCGGATAAAATCACAAAATAAAATAGTTTCCTGGTAATTGTGAGTTCAAGTCCTTTTTTTCTACATATAGACAGACAACAATTAAGTCTCACAAACGTCTCTCACTGACAATAGAAACCTCATCTGATCTACTTAAGTGTGATTGGCTGACACCATTGTTCGCAATTAAGCACAACTATTACAGGTGTTAGTTTTAGTTTTGATTTTTTTTTGATAGCATTTGTTTGACAGGATCCTTTCTGTTTCCAAATCTTAATTTATATTTCTGAAATCAGCATTAAAAACTACATTCAATATATAAGTTTAATATATATATATTCTTTTCTATTTGAACGCGGTGCATGAAACAGAGATGATCCTGTTTGACTTTCATTGTCACACTTACTGACAACAGTTTCGTATGACGCGCTCAGAAACGTTACTTTCCCTAACAGCTTGCTAGCTGTAGCCAACGTTCTCTCAAGCCTACTTTATCGACGACGTAGTTGTGTGAGCTTCCAAACCAGTTTCAACAACTGCACAATACTAGTTTTAATGTCAAGAGTAGAAAGAAAGAAAAAAAACAACAGTAAAAAATAATTTCTTTGCTTTAAGTAATACGTAATCCGAGTCAATTTCTTCGTTTACACAAGTTTCAGATCAAACAAAACTGACGAAACAGCACGCGTAACTTATATGTACCGTCTACTCTTTTGCCGTTATAATGATATTTTTTCTCTCGCGAGTGAAAAAGTTCGAAATACAATATATGATGTCGTACATATTCTTTTTATTTACACATGTACTTAATGAGACAAAGATGAAGCACGTGCAGGAGTGCTACTTAAGGTTGGGCAGGGGTGGGGTGGGGACCAGTAGCCCCAATGCGCTAATAATTTTATTTTTTGGGGGGGGGGGACGATAAACAAGTAACTACTGTTGAGAGTATGGCAATGAAACACGTAAAACTATTGGACAATCGTCGTTACACGTGCCAATAGCGATTGGTGGAGCAAAATCTGAAGAAATTAACGAACGTACAAGTATCTTCACATTAGACGTCAAAATTTGCCGCCGAGATGTATAATAGATACCACTGGTGTTTAACTGTTATACGTGATATACGTTGTTTTTTTTTGGTGGGAGGGGGTTAATGAAAGTGTTCCAAAACGCGACATTAATTTCTTGACGACCTAATAGATGTCACTGATGTATTTAAAAAGGATATTCGTGTATAAATACGCGTTGGTGAATATATCTTGAGAACAATATGGGAATTGTTTGTGACCATACACGACCAAATGAAGCGAAATACCTCGGGTATAAAGTGTGTGTGTGTGTAAAGAGAAGTAAAGAGAAAAATGAAACTTATACTAAATGCTATTAGCATTCTATTCAAGGACACGGTCCTGTTTTGTGTCGCAGAATACCATCAGTAGCATTTGTCAGTTTTTTTAATCAACAGGGTAAAGAGGAAGGAAATGTATTTGATCCTCCCAGGTCCTCAACGACCTAAAATCCGGTTCCGAGCATGCGCGTATCTTCACGCTACCATTATCAACGGCAACCTTAGTTTAACGAGACTGAAAATTAAATACACCAATCACATACCTCCATTAATAACGTGTTCGTGTATCCAGCCGTGGTTTTAGTAGAGTCGGCTGCTATTTCCTCGGTGTCCCTTTGTAAAGACGCTCTTACCACCAGAGGGAGCGGAGAGGACAAAATCGTAACAGATACTCGATAAACCTGTCCTGGACGAACGTATTTGGAAGCCAGCACGATATAGCGACTGAAAGATAACAATATAAAACACGTTAGTGTTAGGTCTATTACATTTTTGAACACTACATTATTAATCTAGTCCCTTAGGGATTTTCAAGAATTAGAAGAGTGTATAATAATAGCAGTATTCCAACCACACTATATTTTTCACATCCATTGTCGACGAAGCATTTCGCTCGATCCAGAACTCATCAGGCCAGCTTGGATACAACAAACACAGTGGTCATCGGATCCCTATTTATATAAACCATTTGTTATAACCACTATTATCATTAACTATAATCATGCTTCGCCAGCTTGGGAAAGGCGTTCATACCAAAACAACATATAACTCATGTCCTATGTAAAAAGTTTCATTTTTAGGTAGGTGGCGCTTTGAATAAATCTGGAGCAACCATTGATTGTTCACCATTAAATTAGATATATTTGCATAATTTGTATTGTCATGTGTCAAAAATACGCATCTGGACCTGCAAATCAAACTCAAATACCAGAAAATATGCTCGCCCTTTCAGCCATAGGGGCGTTATAAAGTAATGGCCAATCCCACTGTTCGTTGGTAATGAGTAGCCTAAGATTGGCGGGTTGTTAGTGTTGACTAGCTGCCTTTCATCTAGTCTACCACTTCCAAATTAAGAACGGTTAGCTCAAGTAGCCTTCGGGTAGCTTTGTGAGAAATTCAAGAAACAAACCAAAAAAATACCAATAACAGTACAGAAAACACTGACTGGGACAGAGGTTACCGAATGTTTCAGGTACAAGCTGCGTGTTCGCGGGATCAGCTTTTTTTAGGTTAATCGGTGACCTGAAAGATTCACTGGAATCACAAAATTATCAAACTCGATCAAGTTATTCTAATAGATAAGGAAATTGCGAGGAACTTCAACAAATATTAAACTGAATTATACTTTATTTTATTACGTAATAGACTAGGCTCGATTTGATTTGTCAAAGCACACATTCTTGACAATTCGACATCCAAGATCGAAGCCTGCATAAATATTCATATTATTACATTCACTAGCCACAAGCTCTCTTCTGCTAGAGCATGCGCAACGACAACCAAATGACAGAAATTGAAATCCCCGAAAGCGAAGATAATCATACATTTTTGGCCCAAATTGCGTAAATTAACCAATTTCTGTATACTATAAACTCAAGGAAGCTGTATCTATTGGTTTTCTAGCTATAATCTTTTACTTTTCTGCTGTTATATTGCAAGTTGCGATTGATATCACTTCACAACTGCAACCACACATTAAAACTAAAAAAGAGGGCACTAGGGTAAATCGCAACATATATACAGATTTTATAACTAAAACAGTTGTGTAAGTTAGGCTGAGGATTCAGTTCTAACTTCTAGAGGATGAAAGGTTCGCTCTTTCTGACGTCAAAGCCACGAACCCTCGAGAAATAACTAATATACTCTTGAACTTTATAAATGTTTTTATGATTTTTATATATTTCACTTGCTTGAATATGTCTCATCACAGATATCAGTGACGAAGTTGAAATGTGTATACTAATAAACTGATTTTTTTTACATGAAAATCTTATAATTGGAGTCCCCAGTTGGGCAGCGGTGTGTTTTAGGGACTTCCGACGCTAAATTCCAGGGTTCCATTCACCGTGAACACAGCAATAGCCCAATGTGGCTTTGCTCTAAAAAAAACAAACTTATAACTCGAGTATTACTTAAGCAGTTACAACTCAAACAAATATATATATTTGTAAGTTTTGTTCTTGCATCGTATTCAATTTTGAAATGTTTCCCATGATGAAACCCTGAACGAAAACTTTGTATAACACTTTAACATAATAATTTACACACCTCTAACGATTTGAACTGAACAACTCAACTGCTGCCATCTTTGATAACACTATAACTAGAAATGTCTCTTCTAGTGTACCATTAAATGGTTAATGATAAATATATATATATTTTTTTCTCCTTGTTACAGTTGCACTCGGTGTAGGCCTTGTTCTCGCATAATTAGGGATAATATATTCAAGAATTTCCATGTTTATTTTGTTTTGCGCCAAAGCGGCACAGCGACAAGTCTGCGGACTTATAATGCCAAAAACCGAGTTTCGATACCTGTGGTGGGCACAGCAGAAATAGTTTGTGCTTAACTACAAACAAACTAAAAATTTTGAGTTCTCTTGAGAAGAGTTGGAAATTGTTTATTGTAAAATGCCACGAATTCTGATGGCCATGAAACACGATACAGTAACACCAATAAACCGTCGACGAAGACTCCTTTAAAACCCAATTTTTATACAATCGCAAGCAACTCACGCGCAGCGATGCACACACGCATTTCAACCTGACAAATAGAAATGAAGAGATAATAAGACTGAACAGGATACTTCTAGTAAAAACGAGTGTAAACCGGTTTTCGAAGAGTTTACAAATCGGAGAACGTGTTACACGTGAAAAATCTAACTATCAAATGCTCTCAATCGTCCGTAATGTATTTCATTCTTAACACCGAGAGGAAACTTTTAGACATTATATGTTTCCAGAATCATTATTTGCATTCGCTTCGTTTTAAAAATTAATCTAATTAATCTATGATTAGGGCGCTTGACTCGCAATCTGTGGGTTGCGGATTCGAATCCCCGTCCCACCAAACATGATCGCCCATTTTAGCCGTGGGGGCATTATAACGTGATGGTCAATCCCACTATTCGTTGGTAAAAAAGAGGAGCTCAAGAGTTGACGGTGGGTGGTGGTGATGACTAGCTGCCTTCCCTCTAGTCTTTCACTGCTATGGACGACTAGCGCAGATAGCCCTCGTGTAACTTTGCGCGAAATTCAAAACAAACAAACTATGAGACCTGGGGCGTGATCAAATACATCAGTCGGAAGGTTTTGACCTCCCGAGTCAGAAATAGTAATTAATCTCAAATCGGTCAAAACTATGAGCTAAAAGTTTGTGCTTGAAAAAAAAACAAAAAACTCAGAGCAGTTCTATGAGCCTCTCTGCCGTGGCTAACAAGACTAAGGCCAGTGTTAAATAGGGATGGACGCGCCTACCCACTGCTTTGAAGGAAACGCCCTGTTTTTATACTTTAACCCTGCGCTGTTATCTGTCTTAAACAGTAGTTTTTGGAAGGTTTGAATTTTGTTAGTTTATCATTATGTTGTAACATTATGAGATTAATTTACTCTAATCCTGCCTAAAAGAATTTCAAGTGCCGCGTCTATTGAGGATTCCCTTTTAGTGTTTCTATGTGTTTGTTATTATTATTTCCATTACATATACGGCTTGTACGCCGTTCCAGGGTCATTCCGGTTTAATGCTCCACGTGACATTTGGGAAAATAATTAATCATTAAATAGCATATTTGAAAGGTTTTTTAATTTCATCACACTATCAATACTGTCACTGAGAAATAAAAACTTACTGGCACGTATTTTCGTATGTTTAGGCTTAACCAACATGTCTACCCTGACCACGTCCTGTTTGTTTGTTACGGATTTCGCGCAAAGCTACAAGAAGGCTATCTGCGCTAGCCGTCCCTAATTTAGCAGTGTAAGACTAGAGGTAGTCATCACCACCCACCGCCAACTCTTGGGCTACTCTTTTTACCAACGAATAGTGGGATTGACCGTCACATTATAACGCCCCCACGGCTGAAAGGGCGAGCATGTTTGGTGTGACGGGGATTCGAACCCACAGATTGCGAGTCGAGCACCCTAACCACCTGGCCATGCCGGGCCCCACGTCCTGCATTTTATATTATCTAAATATCAAAGTTTTTCGATTGGAAGAGAAACAAACAAGCAAACTAAATTAATATTAATGCAAACTACAAGTAAAAAAGAAAACGAAATAATATCTTAAAAACTAGTTTTATAAGCTGACATTGTTGTACTGACGTTAAAACTTGTATGTATTGAACGTGATTTGGGTAATGATTGATTTCCCCATCTCCGAGCTGAGGGATGTTATCAGAACCAGTTACAGATAATTCAAGGTAGCTGTAATCTGTAAAAGATTCAACATATTTTAACCCTACAGAAGTACAGCTGGGGGTTCACATGGACCTCCCCCTCCCCAATCGGATTTTCGTACATATTTTTCTAATGAATTTGTGAATTTGTTTATTACTGGGTACCTAATACATAATATACGAGTCACTTCAATGTTACAATTATTCCCACTGACTATTGCTGTATTTTACATCAAAAAAGAGCGATTTTACGCTGGTCATTGGAAGAGATAAAAACACATTCTTACTCATTGTGCCCCCCCCCCCCCCACAGTGGCACAGCTGTATGTCTGCGGACTTACAACACTATAATCCGGGTTTCGATACTCGTGGTGGGCAGAGCACAGATAGCACGTTGTGTAGCTTTGTGCTTAAGCACATTTCATATTATTGTTAATTCGTAAACTGTTGATACGTTAATATCTGTTTAACACATTTCATATCATTGTTCATTCGTAGATTGTTGATACGTGTGTAATATCTGTTTAACACATTTCATATTATTGTTCATTCGTAGATTGTTGATACGTGTTTAATATCTGTTTAATACATTTCATATTATTGTTAATTCGTAAACTGTTGATACGTGTTTAATATCTGTTTAACACATTTCATATTATTGTTAATTCGTAGACTGTTGATACGTGTTTAATATCTGTTTAACACATTTCATATTATTGTTAATTCGTAAACTGTTGATAAGTTCTTAATATCCCTGTTCATTTGTTTAACTTATTTAATGTTGTTCAACTTACATTAGTTGTAGGTATAGGTTAGGGTTAGTGGTTATATTTGTGCCTGGAATAACAACCAAATTCTTTTTATTCCCTACCATATCGGTGGATACTATTTATTCCCTCATATTGAGTAGTTGGTTGTTTGAAATTGTTCATTCGTAGATTGTTGATACGTGTTTAATATCTGTTTAAACTATGAAATGTATTAAACAGATATTAAACACGTATCAACAATCTACGAATGAACATTCTTACTATAACAGACGTAGCG